GTTCAATCAGCTGTTTGTGGTCTCCTTCTAAGCATGAGAGTCAAAACTGCTGGCAAGAGGGAGAGAAAGAAGAGGGAATTTAAAGGGAAAGGAAAGGGATTGGGGTTACAGGGACACACTACTAGCCCTGCTTGGAGTCAGGTCCAGGAGCCTCTGAAGCAAGTGATTTTCCCACCCTGACTTGTCTGGATGAAAGTCCTTTCACATCTTCCAGGGGCACACATGGATCCCAACTCTTCAGTGTGCTCTGGTGGGAAGTAGTTACATCGGCAAATTTACAACCAACAGGAGATTTAATCCCTTGAATTTTTTAATTGCTGTTTGCTTGTGTTTGTCTAATAAGAAAAAATTGTTTGGATTTTAAAAGAGGCAATTGAAATATTTGATAAATCAGAGCAAACTCTGAAGAGACTGACATAATTTAATACACATTATCTTCTCTTTTATTTGTAGCTCTGCTAAAAATACTTTGCCAGGCATATCCTAATTCCACACAGATTTTTTTCCTGAGTCACATTACATTAATGCCTGACTTCTTTGGTGCGAAGTCCCATTATAGAATTCACTGTTTAAGAGTATCTTCAACACTGAGACATGACTGTAAATGCTGTTTTGTGTTTACAATTAAACATCTGTTCCACAAAGGCAAGAGATGATCAGAAGTTCTGCAAACCTAGGAGAATTTAGGTCCATTAACTATGATGAAAGCACATCTCCAGTGAAATCAAGGGAGGAGGAATAATGCAATGAAGTCTTAGATCTGTAAGAATTTTAAACATTTTAAATATAATTACACAGAAATAGCTATTTTAGAGGACTAGATGTTTTTAAAAGACTTTGATTCCAACTAGTTCGGATTGCTTGGGGTTTTTTCCCCATGTGACTACTTTTGGTGACATATTGTACATATCAAGAATAAGAGAATTTATTTCTGAGTTGGGAATAGTTTTTTAATCAGATTCAGTAATGTAAATAGACCTCTATTTGAAAGTTCATTTGAATCTGAGTACTGGTGTATATTTAAGTGCACTGTATGCTAAAGTAGAAATATCCCCCAGTGTTTAACTGAAAGCATGTTTTATGTGTGGTTTTGTTTTGTTTTTTTAATGTTTAACAGTAACTGAAGCTGGCTTTGGTGCTGACATTGGGATGGAGAAATTCTTCAACATCAAATGTAGAGCCTCTGGCTTGGTTCCCAGTGTGGTTGTACTTGTTGCTACAGTGAGGGCTTTGAAGATGCATGGAGGTGGGCCAAATGTAAGTTTTTGCACCTTTCTTGGAAAATAAAGCTGCTGCTAATATTTGAAGTAGAGTAAAATGTCTTGGTTTAAAAAATATTGGGGGTAGCTTATAGGGCAGTATTTAGATATCCCTCCCGAGGTACCTCATTATATAGATGTTACCTCCAAAGGTAATGCAGGAATGGAAAGGCGCAAATGAAAGAGGGATGAAAGATTTTTGAAGAAATACTAAATCTCGCTGAGGAAGGGAAGTTTGTTTGCATGGAAAAAAAAGCTATAACGTATATATATATTCTTTTCCCTGCCTTTGGAAATAGCATTTGTAAGTGCACTGAAGTAGTCACAGGCTGGGAAAGTTGGCAGCTGAGGAGGAATGCGAGGAGTTTGGGTTGCAGTATGGGAGTGGAAGCAGGGAACATTGTTAGTGAAAGGTTTGATATTTCTTTCACTGCAGTAATGGGAACCCCTTCTGTCTCTTTAATCTGCTCAGGTTAATTCCCTCAGGGATGCTAAGGTAACTGATAAAATTGTGCAGGTGTTTTCCCAGTGTACCAAAAGTCACCAGTGCGTATTTTTTTGCTATTTAAGCCATGAAGAGACTTGCACAGATTACTGATTGTAGAAGTACTTCTCAGTCATACAATCAGATTGGACTCTGCTAGCCAAGCAGAGAGAAATTTAACTCCTAGAAACATTTTCATATGCCCAGCAGCATGCAAGTGAGTGATGCTGCCAGAGAAACAGTCTCACTCGGTGAAAATACCAGAGCTGTTTCCACAACCACAAGATTTTGGATGCATGGTCTCCCTTACAGCTAATCGTCTCTTAGAGAGAGAGTTAAAGAGTTCTTTTTCAGTCTTTTAGGTTGACATAATTATATAACTTCCTATCTTTTTAGTCCACTTCTAATGCAAGTTTTCTGTATTTTTAATAATACTCCTCCATGCATATCAAGGCAGGTATATTGTCCTGTGTGCTATCATTCAATCTAGCAAAACCAGAATTTAAATATGTCTTAGTAACTGTCTCTATTTCTGTCTGATCTGTGTCTTTAGAAGCATAAAGCTTTAATTTGTTTATGTAATGTGTCATAGAGGATTGTAGAGTGCCAGATACTTTTTACTGGGCGATTAACTATAAAATGGACCAAGACCAATGTTTGAGACAAAAGTGACTAATTCCAGTGCCTGGGATCCATGTATGTGGTCCTTGAAGACTCAATATAGTGTCCTGGTGATACTCTTTGTACACCTTTGTGCTTTCCAGCAAAGTAGATTACTTGCATGCAGTTCCTTGCCATGGGCAGTTATTACAGGACAACCAAAGATGATGTTCCTCTTCTAGTCATCTGTGTTACTGTTATTCCTTCAGCCAGCTGTTGGAGGTTGCTGTCCATTGTCTTTGCACTGCATGTAGCATGGAATCTAATTACCTCCTCTCTAATAAATCTTTTACAACTAGTTGCCGAGTCACTACCTGTGTCTTGCTACCTAAATACAGTAGGAAGTGTTGCTATTCTCCATGTACTGGTGTCACTTGGAAAAAACAGAAGCTGCAGTCAAGCTATGATGTTGTGTGCAATGTATGTGCTGACTGGCAGCATAGAAAGTAAGCAAAAGTGCACTTCTGACCATTTCAGATTGACAAGTGTCAATCTGTGATGACTTTGATTTTTTTATTGTTCCAGGTAACTGCTGGTGCCCCCTTGAAGAAAGAATATACAGAAGAGGTAAGAGGAACTATTATAAAACTTTAGAAGTTTTTGTTTCAAGGGACAAAATAGCGAGGTATGTGGAGAATCAGAACTTTTCATTCCTCTGGCTGGATGGTGTGCAGCCTCAGGGTTGACAATAGCATGCTCTAATGCTGACATTCAGTGAACCTTTAACAGGCATTGCCAACAAGTGAAGCCACTTGCTGTTATACCTCTTGTGTGTGCTATGTGTATGACTGCACAGTCGATTGTACTGAGGGACTGAGCTGGCTGAAAAATAACTGTTTTTTCAGCAGTTTTTCCAGGACTACTAAGTTTTCAGACTGATCAGCTCTTGATTCCAGTCCATCATACAGGCATTTATGGCAGCACAAGAGCAGAGTGATGCAGGGGTCAAAGATACTCCCTGAAATTAATGGTAGGTTAACCTGTTTGTTAAACAACAGGTTTAATCTGTTTGTGCTTCATGTCTGGTGTTGGATGTCACTCTTCAAAAAAGAGTGGATTCTGCAGGTGTGTTTTCTTTGTCTCTTCGCTGTAGACAAATTCTGGTCTTTTGGCTTTATCAGTCTAAGGATACGTGTATGGTTACAATTAAGACAAGGCCTACAAAGTGTCGGGTAAAAGAGTAAATAAGGAAATGCAGTAATGTGCTTTTATCCGGTGTATATATATGTATATATAGATTAGACTATGCATCTGTATGTCAAACCCACCTCACTACTGTAGTTTGTTTATAAGCAAGAGTCTAAGAGCCGTTTCACAATCATGACAGGCAACCAGTCATCAGCTGCACTGTCTTCTGGTGTCCCAGAAGAGAGCAATACATTCATGTACAAATTTTGGACACTGCTTAGTTACTTAAGTATGTCTGTTGCTTATTAATTGAAGTAAGAATTAAAAAGATAAGTGTCAAAATATTTTTGTCTGGAAGCATTTTACTTGCCTGCATCTGTCATGATCAGCACTGTTTATGTTCAGTTTCGTTTATGGAGAATTATTTGGCTGGAGAAGACTTGATGTGTCTTACCATTTCCATTCATTTTTATTTAATTGCACAGAACCTCCAGCTGGTAGCTGATGGCTGCTGTAATCTACAGAAACAGATTCAAATTTCTCAGCTCTTTGGAGTTCCTGTTGTGGTGGCTCTGAACATCTTCAAGTAAGTATATTCTTTCATAACTCTTGTGAGTAAATCCATAGTTCAAATTTCACATTTTTCTTATTTTTTAAATTAATCAGTTTTGGCATGAAGAAAAGAAGCTATTAAAAAATTTCCTTTTTTCATCATGAATATAAAGACCTTTAAATCCTTAGCTTGTTCGTAAGGTTTTAAAACCACCAAAAAAAGTATATACTGTTATGGAAATATTAACCTTCCGTGTTACTTAGCCATAACAATTATAAAAAGTGTTCTTGAAACATGTAAATACATATGCTGTATATAAATGCATTATGTATATGGCAGAATTTCTATATAGACTTGCTTTACAACTGCTGATGGTAGAATAAGGGTAAATATATAAGGTTATAAAAGAGAACTAATTAAACAAAATAATGAGACGGAACTTTCTGATCGGCAGAACTGACTCTCCTGCTGAGGTTGACCTGGTGTGTAAGATTGCAAAGCAGTCTGGAGCATTTGATGCTGTACCCTGCAATCACTGGTCGGCTGGCGGCAGAGGAGCAGTAGAATTAGCTCAAGCTGTGGAAAAGGCAGCCAGTCAGAAGACCAGTTTCAAATATCTCTACGGCTTGGAGGTAAGATTTAGTAGTAGTAGTAGTATTTTTTATTTATTTATTTTTAATGAATGCATGCTGCATCAGTGTTGGTTTTAAAGCAGGTAGAACACTGCAACAAAGCTATCTAATGTACTTGGAAAGGGGTTCGACTTTGCTTAAAATCACAAAAGCTGAAGAGAACAAACAGTCTGTGGCACGTCTAATGAGAGGAACAGGATACTTGCTGGTAATGCTTGTTATTTAGGGCATTGAACAACGTTTCTGGTACTATCTTGTTTAACATAAAAGTATGTCTGTAGGTGGAATATTATCAAATTATTGTGGGAGACTTCTCCACAAAGTTCTCACAGTCATGATATTTGTCCTGACAATCAGCTAAAATGAAATATAGTTACTGTCTCACAATCATGGGTATTGCTCCAGGTTGTGGCTCCCTGAAGCATTCACTCTCTGTATGACAAGGATGTTAGAGGTAGTATGTGCACGCTCATGCTACACATCTGCCCAGCCAGACAGGCCAACGCAGAGAGAAAGCACTGCCTTTACCAGCACCCACTTACACACCCACAGCCCTCGGACAAATGTGAAGAGCATGGGCCGCCCTGTTCCTCTCTCCTGCTGATTGGGATTGGAGTCTGCTGGTACAATATGGCACACACGATACATGGGTCACTGCTGCTGTTGGCCTGAGATCCTCCGTCTATCCAGGAGCAGCCTCCAGTGCCCCTGCCCTGCTCCAGTTCTTGGCATCAGGGTCCACGAGCCCCTGAGGTTCACAGCTCACTCCAGCTGCTGGCACTCAGACCTTTCTTCCTGCTCTCCAGTGTTCATACATACACATCAAGAGGAGGGAGCACACCCACACCGAAGGTAGTCAGGAATCAGATTTAGCGAGACTAGAGGACTGACTGTGGTGCTCAAGCACAGAGAGCTCAGTCAGACAAGCTATTGACTAGACTGCTTTACACTCGACTGGCCCCTTCTTCCCCTTTTGCCTCACATTTTTTCTCCACAGTTGTTCCTCTTCAGTCCACCTTGATTACTCCCTTTCCCACACATGTTTACACATTCCCACAATCCCCTTCAAAAATCCCATCATAAGTTTCACACAATCACAAAATGCTCCTCTTCCTACGTCCCATAGTGAGTCCTGTGCTGCTGTAGGCAATCACCCCCTTTGGTTTGCAAAGTTTCCTGATTAAAGAGTTTCCCCATGGACTCGCCTTGGTGCACTTCACACCAAGGACAATGGTCTCATCCTTCCCCTTGGTCTTAGGAAACAGCCAATTCAGTGTGCTCTAATTTGCACTGATGAGGTTTTTCTGCTGATGACATTAGTAGGGTTCCTCCACCTATCATTGTTCCTCTGATCCTTGCTTGGGCTTTGTGTTTAATTTACTTGGCCCTTAGTCAGATAACCTAGCAAAGGATAGTGTGGTCCAAATTTCAATCCTTTGTCTGCCAGAGATGATGACTCCTTTTCCATGTCTTGAAGACTTCGTTATTGTAGTTGTCTGCAAGGTGACATCGCAGCATCGTTGAGCTGTCAAAAGGAGCAGCTTGCAAGGAAGGGCTGCTTCGGCCCCTGAAAGTACTATGCTGGAGTACCACCATGCAGGCAGAACATTTGGAGGGATGCATTGCCACAAAGGTTGTACAAATGATTTCTTAGGGCCTTCTTGCTATCCAGATGTGGGTGGGTTAAAATTTGGGCAGCAAAATAGACTTCTCTGGAACAAAGGAAGCCCTTGTCAAATTTCAGATCCTGTGCCCCAGTGCTACTTTAAATCTCTTTAGAAAATGTTTGAATGCTATTTTTTAAGAGCAGAACCTCAGCTTCATTCTTTTAAATGGCTGAAAGTTCCTGTTTTGATTCTTCTCACCAAAAAAAAGTTCAACCTGAGGTAGATATGCCCTACTGTTGTCTTACACTTTCTCTCCTCCCTGATAGGTACCCCGTATCTGCTGCACCCATTTTATTTCTTCTTTCCACCTCCCCCACTGTTTTGCCAAATGTCAGTAATCCAGAGAACTCTTATTAGTATTAACCACTGCCTTCACAGAATAGATGGAAATACCTTGGGAATATAAGTGCTGCAGCATCTATTTGGGGCATTTTGCCCACGGAACATTTTTACAGCCAAACAATGGACAATGTATCTGCCTTTCTGAGTTTTTCTCTAATGAGATGCTCTGGAAACTGAGGATATCATTTTATGGGTTTTGTGTAATAAAATGGGAAAAAAATTGTTTCAGAAATATGTGTAATAGCGTTCCCCATAGGAGACTTGCATTACAGAGATAGCACATTAGCGTTTGACAAGTTCCATATTTAAGCTCTGTTAAACTCTCCATATTATAGCTCTGTTACTATATTCTGTGTAGCTTACAATCTTGTGGTATGAGTGAGTAAAAAGGATCAGTAGGGGTGGACTCTGCCTCTATGAAGGAAGAAAATGAGATTGGTATCTACTTTAATGTCTTTCCCAGACACATCTTTTTGTGCTGTGTCGCATAAGCAGCACGGTCTTAAGCACAAGGGGAATAAATCACATCTTTACATCAACTTAATATCCCATAACTTAACACAAGTATTATAAGCCTCAAAAATATGTTGAAGGGACTTTATAAAAACATATAAAGATTTTAAAATACTGTAAAAAAGTAAATTCAGGCCAACAAAAACAGTAAAGTGCAAAGTTCAGGCTTCTGTTTCATTCTTACTGTGCAAAGGGTGGGGATAGAAGCAGTTGGAAGTAGGAGAGTGAAACTCTTGTATGGTATGTTGGGTCATTTGGTTGCTGGGCCTATAGGGACATGAAGAAAAGCCACCTCTTCCAAATGAGCCTGCCTAGATATTAATTAAGGTTGTAATAGGATTTTTTGATGTAGCAGTTTTGAGGACTGAGTTCTAATGTTCAAAGGGGTAACTATAACAGAAAATTAAGAAGGAGAAGAGGTAGTAAGATGGGATTGAGACAGATGATTTCCCTCCGTCATTGTGCCTAAAGGAGATTTAAGTGAAAGGACACATTTCCATCCCTCGTCTTTCCAGTGACTGATGGATTTGTCCAGTTAGTTGAATACTTTGAAGTCGTGGTTGCCTTAAGTTTGACGGGGTTTTCTGTGGTGGTGGTTTGGTTTTTTTTCTTTTCTTTCCCCTTTGGAACATAGAAGGGGGAAATATTCTGCATAAAACCACTACCACTTCTTTCATATCTCTGTCTTTATGATATTACTCTGCCCTTCACTTTATTCCATGTCTCCATTTAGTCCGTTGATGTCTACACATCTTATTTTCCTCAGTCTGTAAAACTGCATCAGAATTTACCTTCAAAACTGGCTATAATTAGAACAACTTCCAACAGCAGAGACCACTGTAGCCATAATAGATTCATTCAGCATTTTGATATTTTGTTAGAAAGCATTACCCTGGGGATTTAAAAACAAAACCTGAAACCCTTATATGTAAAACTGTTTTAGATCCTTTTTTACTAGTTGGACCAAAGTTTGCACCAAACCATATTATTAGTATACAGTCGGGCATCTAAACACAGGATAGTCCAGGTCAACTGGGTGCTCTCTGTTTTTTTTCCAAATGGCACACACCTCTGCAGTGCTTTATGTAATTTCCAAATATATACCTGGAAATGAAGGCTTCTTTGAAAGGTGTTTACAAATGTGTATAATGTGCAAAGAGCAAGAAAGTCTTTTCTAGATCTGTCAAATACTGGTAAGAAGTTGAGGATCAGCGCTTTTTCTTCTGAATCCTGAGGTATGTTTCTACATTTATACCATCTTGTGCAGTGATACCCAACATGTGCTGAATGAGCAACTTTAGACAGCGGACACAACACAGTTGTGTCAATTCAGGACTCGGGCTCAGTTAAGTGGTCCTGTGGAGTATTGTAGCAAGCTAGTCTAATTAGAAGACTGTGCTAATGTGGCTGTATTCCTTGAAGCATCTAACGCAGTCTCTTTAAACTTCTTCAGGTGTCTCTACATGAGTAGTCCCACTTTTATATTGCTTTTCAGGTTCTCTTTATTTATTTCTCTAAGCAGGCAACCTTTTGCTTTTATCCTAGTAGCTGTTGCTTGTACTTTTTGAGTTTTTTAATACTCCTTGATTCTAGCAAGGATTTGTTTGACATTTAGTATTAGATTAACAAATATTTTTCAAAAGTTGAAATGAGGACAGAATAAGCTTCAAGCATATTTTGAGGGTAGTGGAAAGAATAGCTGCATATACGATTTTGGGAGTGCATATGTGTGCCAGTGTCATTTCATGGATCAAGTACAAGAAGTGACCTCTGAGAAGTAACCCCTGTTACTTTGTTAACTGTTGTCACTTTAGAAGTGCAAGGAAAGGACATCAACAGATAGAGTGTACAATGTATAGTATTAGGAATTGCATGGGGTGTGGGTGGTTCAGGAGCAAGGATGAGTTTTTATATGATAGGCTCCAGAGTTTATAACATAGTTTAGAAGATTATTGGCAGTAGACGTAATAAATACTATAGTAGTGTGTGGTTTTAATATGGATTTTTGCCTCCACTGCACACTAATCTCTCTTCTTTTGCCGTTGAATTGGTTTCTTGCCGAGTATTTCTCTTTAGTGTTTGGAGAATAGGTTTGTTCTAAAGGCCTCCTGAACTCTCTAAGAAATAATCTGTGCTTTTTAAATTATATATTCTTGCTACATATGGAAAATATCAAAATATCAACTTTCTTATCACTGTTGACTTCCTTTCTGGGTTCACTTTTCTTGAAGTATGGGTCTTTAAGTTGTAGCAGAAAGCTATTACTCAAAATAAAGTTGACTGACCCATTAAAAGTAAGTTTAGATAACTAGAGGGAGTATAGGAGAGGATAGAAACATACGCATCCCATTCCCAAATTCCCCTGGCTTCAGTGCCTGTTTTTGGCAGGCGGGGGGGAAGCTGTATTCCCCACTAATGCACGCCTGGTGAGTAACGTGCCTTCTTTTGCTGTCCTGGTCTCCTCTCTCCTCCTGCGGT